GTGAAATCTCCTGAGCCGTGGTGGGAAGAAGGTTGGCCGCGGGTGAAAGCACTTGTGCTTGACTGGACTTGTGTTGATCAGCCTTCAGTGTATTGATGATATCTTGAGATCTAACCGTTGGATTGCTTTGATTTCAAGTGTGTTGGAAAGTTGGTTGTCTCCTCTACAATGTCTCCAAATTTGGGGATGATCAGACGGTGGGAAAATCTTCATTGATTCAAACTTCTGACGGTCTGAATTTATCTAAAAAAATACTTTTGCTTCAAAATGCACTCCAAAGTCCCAAGTTTTCTGAAAATTTTTTTAAAACTCCAATATATGGAAAACACTTATTAAACCTTTAAAAATGAGTAAAAACATCTGCATAAGATACTGAAAGTGATCTATAAAAATGGTCAAAATCAGGTGTTTATATTAACCTTAAGTTGTTTATATAAAAGCTTAAATGTGAACATTAGAGTTATAAAGATCTATGTAAGCCAAATATATATAAAATTGTAGATTTAAAATGTTAAACAAACAAAATTAACAATATTAATTATAAATATAGCGAATTGTAAAGATTAAAATGCAACAAAAAATATTAAATTTTAAATTTGAAGTTTTGAATAATGAATATGGAGTATAACTATTCAATACTTCAAACTCTTGGAGTATAAAAAACTTCAAATAATGTATGAAGTTTTGAAGTATCGTTTAGAAATGCTCTTCGCTCAAAAATTCAATTATTGGTATCTTTCATCAAACGTTTACCTTCAAATGTCAAATCTTTGAGAAACGACATTTTCACGACATACCAATCTGGTCAATCTGGTTTTTGGAAACATCCCGACCCAGATATATAACTACGCTTGCTTGAAAACTTAGAAATCATTCGCGATAAAAACTTTTTCGTTATGTACAAATGCAAACATAGTATAAATGAAGAACTATCAAGACTTTATTAAATAGAACTGCAATACCAAAATAGTGTAAACCCCAAAGGGTACATATAATATATTTTGCTTAAAATAACTAAAAAGTTTTCAATTTTTGATATACCCAAATCTTTAATGATCTCTGTAATATCATGCTCCAACTCGAATAACTAACCCTCACCTATATCACAGAGGAGACCTGAGTAATTGGATTGCTTAATGAGGACGATCATTCCCGCCTAAATGCAATCATAAATCAATGATCAATTAAATCAATCAATACACTATATGCTAGGATTCTATTAATGTAACATCCCGATTTCCGGTATATGGAAAGGCTTATAAGAATTGATTTGACTACCTATGTCAACAAAGTGCACTTATCTTTTCCGGTCAAGTGTGCTGAGAGAACTCTAGAGTTAAGCGTGCTGATGCTGGAGTAATCTCAGGATGGGTGACCTACCGGGAAGTACTCTGCGGTACCGTGCGAGTGAGGACAAAGCACAGGGAAAGATCATGTGGTGATTGCAGGGACAGTAGACAAGTCTTACGAGCCTTCCGGACTAACGACTCCCGACCGTCAGATAGTGGTGGGCCAACAGGCTTAGAGAGGACGTTGGGCCCACGGGCCTAGAGAGGGTGTTGGACTCACTAGGAGGGACGGTTGGGGGGAGTTAGGATTGATATCACCAGTCCACGTCTGGTTTCTAATAGGGAGGGCGGGATCGGGATGTCACAAGTGGTATCAGAGCCCACCCAACCACGTGTGTGGAGTCGTCATGTGGCCTCACACCGTAATAGGGTAAACGATCCTGGTGCAAGCACTGTGGGAGTAAAAAGGAGAATTCGGGGATGAATTCCTTGGAAGTCGGGGAGAATTGTAACATCCCGATTTCCGGTATATGGAAAGGCTTATAAGAATTGATTTGACTACCTATGTCAACAAAGTGCACTTATCTTTTCCGGTCAAGTGTGCTGAGAGAACTCTAGAGTTAAGCGTGCTGATGCTGGAGTAATCTCAGGATGGGTGACCTACCGGGAAGTACTCTGTGGTACCGTGCGAGTGAGGACAAAGCACGGGAAAAGATCATGTGGTGATTGCAGGGACAGTAGACAAGTCTTACGAGCCTTCCGGACTAACGACTCCCGACCGTCGGACAGTGGTGGGCCAACGGGCCTAGAGAGGATGTTGGGCCAACGGGCCTAGAGAGAGGACGTTAGGTCCACAGGCCTAAAGAGGGCGTTGGGCTCACTGGGAGGGACGGTTGGGGGAATTATGATTGATATCGCCGGTCCACGTCTGGTTCCTAAAAGGGAGGGCGGGATCGGGATGTCACAATTAATATGTTTCTCATTCTTGTAACTTAACCAACTTTCTATTACTTAGTCACTTATTCTCTATACCTAAAGCCATCTAACGATCTCAAAGGTCAACGATTTCGTAGGGTACTAAACAGTAAACACTGAAAATAGAATCATCCAAACAAATTGATTCAAAGAATAACGGGTTACTAGAACATTTATAAATTAGTGTTTTTTTTTTTTATGAATGGCCTTGTAAACATGCATAATTAGCCATGCGAATTGAAGGTAGCACAAAAAACCGAAAAGATCAAGAGCAAAACCAGTCAGTTTATGTATTTAAGACTATGTCCATTAGGGGTTTGGATGGGGTTCTTGGTCCAAGTTCATATGTAAAAACGATTAAAAAAAAAGATAAATCTAATTTCGATGAACCGCTCCTTAGAGCATGTTTATCAAAGAAACCCATGTGAGTTTTTTGATAATTATTATACTAATAAAATTTATTTAAAAAAATTATGGAAGAAAATATCATTGAACCTTAAAAGTTTTCTTTAAGGAAAAATTAATCTTTATCCAATAGAAGGGCGCCATATCATCACAAGGATCGCTCCTTCAGGGATCGATCCTCCTCTTCTAATTTGCCTTTTTGATTAAAATAGACATTTTTATTAGGAGAAACCTAACTTGGTTTTTTTGTAATCATAGTTAGTAGTTAGAGACGAACGAGCCAGTCTCATTAACATGCGTACGTGTTTAATTGGCCAGAATAATATGATTTTTTTTTATTGTTTTTGTCGACCAAAATTTTTTTTCCTCGAACATCTTCATTTTCATCGTAAATTATGTTTGATGCTGGGATTTGAGATCCGATTATGAACGAACGCGAGGGCAGTGCTGATCGATCTCTATTGAAAAACCCTAAAGGAGATCCAAGCTGTGCCGGAGGATGAAGGATACCGAAAAACGGTGGAATCATTTACGAGACATTGTCTCAATGTGTGCAAGGAAGAAGACTGAGAGGCTATCGAGAAGCGGCTTGGTTGTGGTCAAGTCAAAGAAGCACAAGATGAGCTCACACTCATTGGGAAGATGATCGGTCCGTATTCTCTTTCCTTTTTTTTACATCGCTTCGATTTTCATGCGATTGATTTGCTATTTTGGTTTGGTTTTGCAAATGTAGAATGAGATTTAGGATTAGAATTTTACTTTGCATATCTAGTTAAGAAAGAAAGTATGAACATTTGGACTATAAGATTAATTTGTTTCCAAGAAATGTGTTTGAAAAAATGAAATGTAGAGGCTTTGTAAATCGTTAGGGTAGAAAAACTGGACACAGAGCACTGCAAAGATGACCTCTTTATTGGCTATCAAGTTAGTGGGAAGAAAGTATGAGTTAATGTACATTGAATCCCAAGCCAAAATTGAAATGCAAGTAAGGGAATGCAAATTTTGTTGTATTAGTATTTGCTAACTTAGCCGTATGTGTGAAAGTTTGCATTTTTCACTTAAGATTGGAACGGTTTTTGCTTCAGTGTCACATAGCTATGGTTTTGTTCTAAAATTGGTGTTCCTGCTTTGCATTTATCTGCACGTTAGTGTTAATGCTTATGAAACTCTTTTTCAATTTTCATGTTACTTTGTGTATTTGTATTTGCTAACTTAGGCAAATGTGTGAAAGTTTGCATTAGTTCACATAAGATTTGAATGGTTTTTGCTTCAATGTCACATAGATGTTGATTTGAACGGTTTTTTGCTTCAATGTCACATAGGGTCAGTTTTGGATTTTTGTTAGTTGGGTTGGGATGAGATGTTATCAATTATGCTTGGAGATGAAAAGGAAGAGGTGAATAAAACAAAACAAGGTGGTGGGATTGATGAGTTTATGGAGAAGATGTTCGGAAAGATTGAGAAAGATGGAAGTTACTTGGAGCGGATTATAGACGAGTATGTGTTTGGAAATTTTCTTGAGGATCTGTTAACTGTTAAGAACTAAACTGAGAGAGAAAGCTGAGAAGGAAGAGAATGAGATTTCTTCATGGTTCACTAATGGAGACCTTGAAGCCGAACTCGGTGTTGCAGAAGAAAAGAAGGAAGAGAAAAAGACACTAAGAAGAAGAAGAGTTCAATGAAGGTAAATTTGGAGAGGAGTGAACAAGAACCAACTGTGTGTATCTGTTTTCGTGTTCTTGGACCAAATATTTTTTTCCTAGAATTGGATTGGTGGACTTTGTGTGTATCTGTTTTGTTATGTTTTTTTTTTTCTTTTTTTAATAGAAATCAAACAATGTAGATACTTAAAACTTTGTTTTTATAATAAAATAAAAAAGATTATATACTCAAACATAGTTAATATGCCTTGTTAATTTTGAAGTAGAGAATTTGCATGTTTAATGTCAATTATAAACTAGTAAACACCAAAGTCTTTTCATTTATTAAGATCATAAAATATTAGAAGTTCTTTAAACTTATTGTAATACAATATAAATTTAGTTTTATAAAATATAGTACGTTTAAAATTATTAACAAAATAAATTAAAAGTTAAAATTAATGATTTATAAAAATAATATTTTTTTATTTTTAAGAACTCTTAAATGAAGTTTACCAATGGAGGAAAAAAATTTGAGATTTTCAACTATTCATAAATTAAAATAATAATAAAAAACTTTTATGGACCCTAAGGAAAAGTTCACTTATTGACATGCTCTAACGATCTCAACCCAAAAAAAAAACGAAATCTTTAGATCTCTCAGACCCCTAAACATCTACACAATCACAAATCTAGAACGAGTCTTTTATTTAGTCGAGAAGCTACAGTGTGTAACAATACATTGAGCAAGCATCATACGAAATCGTACAAATCGAAACTTCCGGTCGCATTCTTTCACATTGTTAATGATTTATTAGAGACTGAAACAACAGAAGATTAGATAATCATATATGGAAGAAACCTGATCGTCGATCCCATTAAAGAAAACACTAGATTCCACAATGGACTTTAATTTCCTCACAAAACCTATACCATCAGAAATCTAGAGCGAGTCTATTATTCAGTCAAGACGCTGGCACATGCAACGATACATCGAGCAAGAATTATACGAAACCGAAACTCCCGGTCACATTCTCCTTCACGTTGTGAAATATTATTGGAAAAAACAACAGAAGATTATAGATTCATATATGTAAGAAACCTGATCATCGATCCAGCAATAGTCCCTGAAAACACATGACAATATCAATCAATTGTATATAAGGATAAACCTAAACAAGATAACAGATTCGCACCATCATCGAATCATGTCGACGGCGCAGCGGAATCTGAGGGCGCAAGAAGCGGGAGAATCAAGCGAGGAACATGAGCTTGATGATCCTCAAGACGACCCTTAACACAATCTCCATCCCAGCGAACAAGAGTTGGCACTCCGGTGAGCTTAAACCGAGGATCAACTCTCCAAGGATGAGTCGGATTCCTCCATGTCGGTCTATCTCCGGCGTAAGCCCGAATGAGATTCACCTCCTCCGGCGATTCCTCTAGAGTCTTGAGTATCACAGGCTCAGCTCTAACGCAATCTGATTATTAATTTGTCCAAAACCATTAGATCAAAAGATGTAATCGAAGTTTGGTGAAAATTTGGAAGAAATCGGAAGCCCAAACGGACCTGGACACCAGCTGCGGTTGGTGGTGGGATCGTTGTCGGCGAGGAAGAGTATGAAATTGATCTTGGTACGGTTTGTTTCGTCTGATTTTAGTTCTTCTAACACCGATTCAAAGGTTGAAGGATTCGCGTCCCATTTCTTCATCGTCATCTTCGGTTTTTCACTCCCTACCCTGACGACTTTCGATTTCTATAGCTATTTTCGTTATTCGTATTCGTTTTTGGACCAATGGAAGACTTATTCGTAATGGACCGCTTTACTGGCCCATCTTTCTTGAAATTTTTCAAAAGTGTAATATAAATTGGACGATAGATGGATAATTATCCTATCAACGTCTCAAATATTTACCGATTTTGATGTGCATTATTATATGTATTTTTACTTACTATAAATATGTAAGCAGTGTTATAATAAGAAGATAAGATAATAAGAAGCAAAATCATTATCTCTTCCCCTTGCTCTCTTTCCACTTACCTTCTCGTCTCTCTCTCTAGTCAATATACATATACATATATATATTTATATAATACACTTCTCACCCTATATATAGTTATTGGTTATAGTTTATAATATGTTCAGCATAATCGTCTTACTATACCGAAAAGGTGAGGTTTATATTATGTTTGATTGGTTTATATTTATATGCTTTGGTCGGGATGATAGGCATTGCCTTCTCCGAACCAATTATTATAATAGACTATACCTTCACGATCATATAATCATATGGTAGATTATGTCTTCTCAGATCAAATTTATGGCTGGTTTATGATCATATGGTAGATGTCTTTTCAGATCACTGCCTCTATATAATAAATGTCTCGAAGACATTTATGAAAAGTTCCAAAAAAACTATTTGAAAAAAAATGTCTAGAAGACATTTAAGAAAAATTCCTGAAAAACTAAGAAAAAGATATTATATCCAAAGAACATATTTGAAAGAAAAAAAATGTCCCAAAAACATATATGAAAAATTTTGTGAAAAACTATATGAAAAATATATATTTAGAAGATATATATGAAAGTGTTCTTGAAGAACTACTTAATAACTTTCGTCCAAAAAACAAATATTTATTTTAATCAATTTTATTTAATATTTGTATATTATTATTTACTATATGGAAGACTCGACTCCTCTATTGCTTAAATTCCGTTTTTAAATTTATTATATATTTTTAATTATATGAAAGAACCACATGAATTTCGAAGACATATTTATAAGAGTTTCCGAAGAACTACATAAATAAAAATGTCTAAAAGACAAATTGTTGTAAAAAAAAGCACATCATTTTCATCCAGAAGATGATTGGTTTAATTATAGTTTTTTTAATTTATGTTTAGTATTGTTTAATTGTTAATATGTTTAACTATTTGATTTATTTTTTTGTTAATTAAATATGTGAGTTCCAAAAAAACTATTATAATTTAAAAAAATTTGAGCATCAGAAGACCCACTTGTTCAGAAATAGAAAACGCTCCAAAAAAGCTAGACAATCTGGAAGAGCTAGAGGCTCCGAAAGAATTAAAAACTCTCAAAAGAATTAAAAAGCTCTACAAACTAAAAAGCTTCAGAAACTAAAAGCTTTATAAGAGCTAAAAAGTTCTAATAGTTTTACAAGAATTAAAAGCTCTAGAAGAGTTAAAAGCTTCAGAAATTTCAAAAGTTTAAAGCTCCAGAAGACTTAGGAGATGCAAAAGTTTTATGAATTAAAAACTCTAGAAGAGTTAGAAGTTTTGGAAGAGCTAAAAATTTATGCAAAGTTAGAAGTTCTTGAAGAGAGAAATTCAAAGATAATGGAAAGCTCCAAAAGAGCAAAGTGCTTCCGATAAATAGAACGCTCCAGAAGAGCTAGATGTTCTAAAAGAACGAAACGCTCCAGCAGAGCGAAACATTCTAAAAAAGTACATGATGGAGACATGCATAAAGATGGCAAAATTGTATAAGATAGTAAACCTAAAGTTTACTAGTATATAATATAACCGGTTTAAACAACCCGATGTAATAATGGTATTGAGAATTTATTAAGAAAAAACACGAAGTTTTTCACACATAGCATGTCTTGTTGAAAATAAAAATGAGACCATCATGAGAGATGTATCACCATATTTTTTAATGAATTCATTAGATATGATGGTTGGATTTATTTAAACAGTCCCCAAATTAAACCCGAATAGGTGAAAATTAGTTCAAGATGATTGGCAAGAAAAGCCATCATCAGAGGGGGTATTAAGAGTCCACTAAAGGATTTGATGCATAATACAAGGCCCAAAGATGAGTTATTTGGATATGTTTTGATCCTAAAATTGGATTCATTTCGAGATGGATGAACTTGTAATCATCATCTCGAGGGGGAGAATTAGAGAATCCTACATCAAAAATAGTGGGACATCATGAAGATTATAAAGTGATCCAGAAGATTGCGAGATCAACAATGGTGAAATTTCTCCATGTTTTGGTATGGAAGAGCTAATGAATGAGAAAAATGAATTATCATTATGGATCCTCGTATAAATGATTTTGAACCTGAAGTTCAAAGGATAATTTATTTGTAAATGCTAGACATACAATGAAAGAAAATCTCAATTCTAGCTCAAAATGCTCCAAGAATATGTCCCTGAAGGAAGATTTATCAATAAAGAGTCTAGGGCACGTAATAAATGTGATAGGCTACTTTGGTTTCAAATATAAGATCCTTAAAAGGAAGAAAGCAAATATATGTTAAAAAGGGGATAAATCTCCTAAAGAGATCCGTTGATATGGTTAATAATAAAATCAGGTACCTGAATGATATCATTGATAATTATAAAGAGATCTCAATTAAACTATATCATTACGTGAAATGAGGGAACCAAAGACAAAATAACTGTCGATAATAAATAAGATAGCGCGCGATTTGATATGAATGAGGATCATAAATCTACCTCTGTGGATGAGTGTAGAAAGTGAAAATATTGGCCAAAGAGTGAAAATGCAATCAAGTCTATACTAAGTTCATATGAAAAATGAGAAATTTTTGGACCAGCAGTCTAAACGTTAAAAGTAATATCAAGTCTGGCAGAAAAAGAACGACTTGAATTATGCCTTATAGATGTGGTGACATTTTTAAATAGAAAATCCCTGAAGGATTTTATCCCTGAAGGATTTAATCCATGAATGATTAAAAATGTTAGAATTCTGTTCCCGGGAACTCTACTTGATGAAGTATATGTTGCATAGAGCTTTATAATTTTAGTAAATGTTAAACAATAGATGGATCCAAGAAAGTGATCCTTGATTTAGTCATAGGATATTCTGCCTTTTTAGGAATTATGTTCATTTTGTTTTGCAGGTATCCTAATTGATTTCTCATCTCAAAAGATTCCAGCAGGATCTAACATATTCCCACTAAGCATTTTAAAGAAAATGCTATCTGATTCTCTCTTCAAAATATCATGAACTTGAAGTTCATATAACTTGGAAATACTCCACAAAAATAATTTTTCTGAAGAATAAAAATTCATTGGAGTATAGTAAATGAAGCAATGTACAGTTACAAGGGGGAGGACGATTGACTCTAAAATTCTCCAAAAGAGAATGAAAATTAGAGAATAAAATAAAAGAAATCCAGAAGAATTAATAAAAGAAAATATCGTAGGACTCATAATAATTACACCTGAAGATGTAATGTCATTCGAGATCGAATGAGTCTTTATTTGAATACAATGAGAAAAATTAAGTCACAAGACATAAAGTCCAGTTTGTGATACAAATTTTTTAACAAAGACCAGAATTGATGTTCTTCGGTCATGGATATAATAACATTCAGTAATGTGTTGATTAAAATCCCAGAAGGATCAAGGATGCCTGAAGCATCTAAAAAAAATGTTTAGTCATGGGAAGAGTTTGACTAACTCGATTAATGGACCAGAAGTTCAAGGATCCGAGAATGACGATTATACGAGTTTGTTCTCTAAGGATCTACTAATAAAGATCTCAAAAAGATGGTGTATATAATTAGAATGCATATCCTTAAGATGATGCTTTCAAGGGGAGAATTATGATAATATGTGTGGCTGTACTCTTTTTTTCCTTATTATGGTTTTTATCCCAATGGGTTTATCCATGAAGAGGTTTTTAACGAAGCAGAAAAGAAAACACAAAAAGATAAACCCTTAAAGAAGAGTACTTCCAGAATAAGTATTATGAAACGCGTGGATGCATTTTTTTCCCTGTCATGGTTTTTACTCCACTAAATTTTTCCATGACAAAATTTTTAGCAAAGCATCAAAGAATACGCAAATGATAGATATCCAAAAGTTCAAAAGAGAGTACAACAATTTCAGTGACGTACAAGTCAAGAATCATATATCGGAAAGAAAGGTTCATCAATCCGAATAACAGATTTATAAAGAGAAGATTATATCCATCTTTTCAAAAAGAAATTATGTGATAGATAGTTATAGGGAAGTGTTAGAAATGGATAATTATCCTATTACCGCCTCAAATACTTACCAACTTTGATGTGTATTATTTTATGTATTTTTACTTACTATAAATATGTAAGCAGCGTTGTAATAAGGAGATGAGATAATAAGAAGCAAAATCATTTTCTCCTCCACTTGATCTCTTTCTACTTACCTTCTCGTCTCTCTCTCTTTTGTCAATATACATATATATTTATATAATACACATATCTCACCTTATATATAGTTACTGGTTATAGTTTATAATATTGGGAAAATCGTAAAAAAAAAAACCATCAAGTTCTAAAAATAGGCCAAAAAATAGGAATTCCTATGATGGTTGTTCAAAACATTATGTTTTCTTGACTTCAAACTTAAAACATAAAGTTTGTTTGATCCAACCAAGAAAGCATGTTATTAATTTCTAAAATAGAATGATTAAACGAGATTTGAACCGTTTAAAGGCACAGTCAAACGAGAGGACGTCGTTTTATTTCTTCTTCTTTATACCCCCAAATCAAAAAATCTCCAATTCACATCTCATAAACTCTAAATCCCTAAATCGATTTCAAATCCTCCAAAAATCATTGTTTTCTTCTTCTCCTACAACAAATGAGTTCCAGTCCTGACCAGTGTATTTTGTGTGCCCACTGTGGATTACTTTCGCTGCACAAAGCAGATTTAGCTGTATAGTTTTATCAAGTTTGATAACATGTATTAACACTTTTATTGGTTTGATGATGCTGGCAAGGGTTAGCAGATCGCGAATAATTTTCAAATTATAAAACTCTAGAATACTATAAATGCACAATCGTGCGGTATAGTA